GAGATGTGTGCACTTCATGGCAGAGGTACTTGGGATCTGGTTCCTCTTCCCTCTGGAAAATCTGCTGTTGGATGTAGATGGATATTTACTGTCAAGGTTGGTCCTGATGGACAGGTGGATCGTATCAAAGCACGTTTGGTGGCCAAGGGATATACTCAGGTGTTTTGTGAAGATTATAGGGATACATTTTCCCCTGTGGCAAAAATGGCATTTGTTCGCCTCTTTATTACTATAGCTGTTATTCGTCACTGGCCGCTTTATCAATTGGATGTCAAAAATGCTTTCCTCAATTGTGATCTTGCGGAAGAAGTTTATATGGATTAACCTCCTGGATTTGTTGCTCAGGGGGAGTCCAGTCTAGTTTGTCGACTCCGCAAATCTTTGTATGGTCTCAAACAGTCTCCACGAGCTTGGTTTGAGAGGTTTAGCACCATTGTCCAGCAGTTTAGTATGACTCGGAGTGCGGCTGATCACTCAGTCTCTTATCGCCACTCAGACTCTGGATCTATTTATTTGGTAGTATATGTTGATGACATTGTCATTACAGGTGATGACCATCAAGGCATTACTCAGTTAAAACAACATCTCAATCATCATTTTCAGACAAAGGATCTCGGAAGACTACGATATTTCTTGGGAATTGAAGTGGCTCAATCCAAGGATGGTATTGTGATATCCCAGAGGAAATATGCTATGGACATTCTAGAGGAGACAACTTTGTTGAATGCTAAGCCTGTCGATACCCCCATGGATTCAAATGTCAAGCTTATGCCAAATCAGGGGGAGCTATTTTCAGATCTAGAAAGGTATAGAAGATTGGTTGGGAAGCTGAACTATCTGACAGTTACTCGACCAGACATCTCATTTGCAGTCAGTGTAGTAAGTCAGTTCTTGAATTCTCCTTGTGAAGATCATTGGAATGCAGTGATTCGTATCCTCAAGTACATCAAGAATGCTCCAGGTAAAGGTCTCCTATATAAAAACAAAGGTCATACCAGAGTTGAGGGATACTCAGATGCTGATTGGGCAGGTTCCCCCAGTGATAGAAGATCCACATCTGGGTATTGTGAATTCCTTGGAGGTAACTTGGTTTCTTGGAAAAGCAATAAACAAAGTGTAGTTGCCAGATCAAGTGCTGAAGCAGAATATCGCTCCATGGCCACAACCATCTGTGAACTTATCTGGTTAAAACAACTATTGAAGGAACTCAAATTTGGAGACATTGGCACAACATCTCTCATTTGCGATAATCAAGCTGCTTTACATATTGCTTCCAATCTAGTGTTTCATGAAAGAACCAAACACATTGAGATAGACTGTCATTTTGTTAGAGAAAAAGTTCTCTCTGGAGATATAGTCACTAGTTTTGTTAACTCAACTGATCAATTAGCTGATGTTTTCACTAAGTCTTTGAGAGGGCCTAGGATAGATCACTTATGTAACAAGCTTGGTGCATATAATTTATATGATCCAGCTTGAGGGGGAGTGTTGTAAATAATAGTTTAGAATAGTAGTTTAGAAGTCCCACATCATGTATATCTCTTTGTATTTTTTTTCTTTTGAGTTATATAATAGACTCTCCGTTGTGTAGTTAAGACACACGGATTACTTATAAATCTTTTTGTTCTTGATATTCAACAATATTTAATGTTTATATATTCCATTAATAATATACTTTTATTTTATATATACAAATAATATTCGTATAAGATATGTCAATTATACATATATATAAAATGACATAACAAACAAAAACTTTGCTTAGGTATATGATGTCTTTTAAAAAATTTATTAAAATATAATTACGATTTAGTTACAAAGGTTATAACTGAAACATATTCATTCAATAATAATTAATATAAAGGAAAAGAAATCTCTTGCTCTTGCTCCTTTTTCATCTAAGAAATCATTTTCAATACCCAAGCTTGTTTTGGATAAGAAAATAAAAATAACTGAGTCCACCTATCAAGCTTGGGAGTTGGAAATTCTTGATAATCCTCCTCTAGAGTGGAGTCGTTTGATTTTGAGGGACCAAATGGGGGTTGCTCTCCCCAGAATGGTCTGTTGTTGAGATGCTTGTCTGTTTCGTTTATTTCCTATCTATATATATAAAAAAAAAAAAAATTAAACACAGTGACCCGAACCTATTAACTTAATGCAAATAGTTTGATTTGCTCTGTTTTCACTTTTCATAGCCCTATTCACACCAACTTGACCAGGAAAGGCTGGGTTCAACTAAAAAAATAGTGCCTACAGTCACGATTCACGAACATAGATTATGACAGCAATTAAATTATTTGATATCTGACTCATGACCCTAATAATAGGTTATAGTTTAGAATGTCAGAGCCTCCAGTAAGTAAGTAAAGCAGCATATTTGGCAAAAAAATTAATTTATTGTTTTTTTAATAAAAAATTACGAAAAATTAGTTGTTTTAAAATTAATTACAAAAATATAGCACTCAAACACGTCCACATGAGGCGTGTTCTAGAAGAGAAACACGCCTATGTGGGACGTAACCTAAGAGAGAGACACCAAGTGTGACCTAAGAGAGACACACGCCCACATGGAGCGTGACCTCTCTTGATAGTCTTATCTGTACAAATTGCTCAGTAAAAGTTGTTTGTACAGTAAAAGCTGTTTAATATTGCTTCTGATGGAGAAGGCATGCCGGCAATGGAGAAGATAGAAAGTAGAGACCATTTGGCTGAAACCACCTGGGGCTTTGATTATCCCATCTTTCTCCTCCTGTTGGAGAAGGGGGCGATGAATAATTAACACTACTAAAGCATTGTCTGTTACTTGCTTAAAATTTAAGGGTGAAAATCTTAAATGATTAATATTCTCAAAAGTATGTGATAATGAATTAAAATTGCTTTGTCTCATCAGGTTTGGAATTGTTATGGATGAAATAGTTTTTAAGCCATTTTCACCTTGTTTTTCCCCTTTTGTTTTGTAAGCTTATCTATAATCTAAAGGAAGCTAATGTACCCAGGAACAAAAGAGCTCCCATCTACAACCCTTTTGCCCCACAATGTGAAGATTAAAAAGGGATCTTCTTAGCCCCTGTTTGGTGAAAGTTTGGGATGGGAAGAGAAGCAGTGAAATGGAGAAATCTCCTTTCATTTTTCCTCTGTTTAGGGAATCTAAGATTGATTGAAGTTGTTCCACTTTGTTTTCTAAGAGAAAGAAAAAATCTTGCGGTACATCCAAATCCAATGCATGTCCATGTCCTCCATCCTTGTCGTCACAACACCATCACCGTCTTAATTTTTTGTTGTTGCTTTTCTCTGACCAGGGAGGTCACGCCCTTGTTGGGCGTGTCTCTCTCCTTGTCATGCTCAGACGTGTCTTTTTCGTAGGTCACACCCCACATGGGCGTGACCTACGATTATTTTTGTAATTAATTTCAAAACGATTATTTTTTCGTAATTTTTTATTAAGTCAAATATGATATTAATAATTTCCTTCTAATCAAGATAGGTTCAACGATTCGACTTTTCTAGCAAATAAAAAGGCAAGAGTAATAACATCTAAATCAGCCGAAAAGAAACTATATTGATTTTATTAATACAAATTTGAACAGTTTCCTCCTACCGAGTGATTTGACTATTTAAAGTGAATTATTATAAGGGTTTGATTTTTCTCATGTTGCATAAGAGAAAATTGTCTCATGCACCACACAAAAAAGTGGATAAAACCCATTCTAATGAATAGAGAGAAAGAAAAAAGTGGATCCTATTCACTTTTGTGTGTGTTGCATAAGACCACAAATTGTCTTATATAACATAAGAAACACATTTCTCTTAAGGGGCATTTTGTAGAGAAGAAATTTTTTTTTTATCCGAAAATCTCAATTTTTAGACATATAACTTTTACATTCAGTTTAAGATAATATCTAAAAATTAAAAATTTAAAAAAATTCAGTTTTCGAAATCTCAAAAAAACCCTGCGTACCCAAACGGGCCCTTATTATAAACCATATAACATTAGCTTCTCTGAAATGGCTTGATTTTCCATCTTCACACACAAGTGAACTTGCGTTTTCTCTTTCGAAAGAGATAACATTGGCTTCAAGCAGTGGCGGACCCAGGAAAATTATTTTATGTCCGCACATTTATTGGTGGGGTTCGGGGGCAGCACTCCCGAATTTTTTTTGTAAAGAAAGTTTAAATCAACGCTTAAACCCGCTCATAATCTAGTTACTTCCATAACAAGCTACATGCAATAGTTTGACCAATTATTCCCCCATAAATCTTACCATACATCATCATTCTATTTTATAGTGGTGAATAAAAAAGTCAACACTACTAGTACATAAGGCAAGCAAAATCACAGTGAAAGCCTCGTCTCTAGATATTAACTTATTTGAGAATGTCAGACCTGCAATCAATCCTCTCTTTTTATAAAAATGAAAAAGGAAACAAAGGATGAAGAGAGCATGAGAATGGGTACGTGACAGGGGAGGAAGAATAAGTTTTCTTTCTAATCAATTTGCGTTGCTACGTTGTTTTAATCATCTCCGTACGTTGCTAACTAATATAAGAATAAACATCTTTTTTCGTCCCTAACAAAAAATTCGGTCCACACTTTATTCCATTATAAAAAAAAATTAGTCATCTGGTTCCTATGAAATTCAAAGTGGACTGATTTTGGTGTTTTTGAGGGACTAATATAGGTCTTTTTTGAATTTGTGAGAGACCACGATTTTAACTAAATTGATTCACTTTAAATTTTTTAGGGACCTCGAGACTATTTTTTTTTTTTTGTAAGGAATTAAAATGAGAATTATGTTTTTTTGCTAGAAACTTAAAATGATATTTTTTCCTAATATATATATTGAACTAAAAGACAAATAAAGACCTGAACAAAAAAAAAAATGAAATAAATTTTTTTATGACAGCACTTGCCGGCATTTGCCCGCAAGTGGGTCCGCCACTGGCTTCAAGGTTGTGAACTTCTTCTCTTTCAATCTCAATCTCCAACTTGATACCTTCCTATGCTGGTTCAACTTCTCACAATCATTATTATAGTTGTCACAGCCACAGGAACAGGATCGTACTCTGTGTTGCACATGGATTTGGATTCAACACCTCTAGTTTCCTTTCTTGAGCGTCTACAAGAAGCAGCATTCAACACCTTTGGCTTAGGGGTGGATCCTAAGACGTACGTTGACATGCCATTGAAGTTGGATTTGTGTGTGACAGAAGAAGCATTTGATAAACTTGGTAGGAGTGGTGACGGGAAAGTGTCGGTTGAGGAGTTGACATGTTTCATAGAAGAGTACTTTGAAAGAGCAGGGGATGACATGGAGCCTTTGGAGGCAGAAGATTTTGTTGAAGAACCAGAAGGTTTTTTGGCAAAGGTGGAACACCCTGAGGTGAGGGAATGGGCATTGAAGGTGCATTCTCTTTGGAATAATTTGAGTAGAAAAATGTGTAATGGGGTCAAAAGGGAACCTCATTTGCATACTCTGCTTCCTGTCCCATCTCCTTTCATCATTCCCGGATCACGCTTTCGTGAGCTCTATTACTGGGATTCCTACTGGGTAATTAGGTTTGTGTTTGTTTCTTTCTCTTTACTTTCTATCTTGTAATTGTTATTTACCAGTTTAGGGTCATAATAACTTAACGGGTCAGTTGATATTGTTTTTGTTTTGGCTTTAGGGGCTTGCTAGTGAGTAAGATGTATAAGACTGCTACAGGAATTGTTATTAATCTCATTTCTCTAATTGAAGAATATGGATTTATGCCTAATGGTGCTAGAGTTTACTACACCAACAGGAGGTACTCACTTTTCTGTTCATGGTTGTTGCCGTTGTGCTATTTCTTGGTGCCTTTTACCTTTCTGGATTGTAAGGCAAGAGTATTTGAATTATTTGTGTGGATTTGACATTTCTATTGGCTTCCTCAACCCCCCATCTCATAAATTCTGTAATTAGAAGGTCACAGGTTGAGTCCACTAAATAGCCTCTTTACAAAAACGCAAGGATAAAGCTGCCTATAAAAATTTCCTCACCCCTATTCAACTTGTTCAGGTCTCATTGGAGCTGTTTTATGTCGAGAAGTATAATGTGGAATTAATTTCCAGATACATTATTGAACTTCCTAAGTCATCATATTTTGTACTAGTGTTTTATGTCTGAACTTGAACTCTTTTATGCTTAGCAGTTATTTGCATACCAATTCTCACATGCTTCGAGACTTTTTTTGTGTAGGGGAAATGTTAATTTCTAAATTCTGATCTTTGAATGACTTGACAAATAAATTTCAAACGGGATATATTGTAGCATGACTTTTACACTGGTCATTTTAACTTGACAATGACATCACACCATTCTCATATACATCTTCACCTTTTGAAATTAAATAATTCTTATCATAATTCTTGATCTGACAAACGGAAAAGGAAACTAAAACATTGACTATGATTTTACAGCCAGCCTCCCCTTTTAAGTGCTATGATTTATGAGATATACAGTTGCACTGGTGATATCGATTTGGTTAAAAGGTGTCTGCCTGCATTACAAAAAGAGTATGAGTTTTGGAATTCAGGTATTTCTTCTCACAACTTTGAACTCAACTGTTGAACTTTGTACAGTATTATCTATGATGGGCTGATCCTTGAATATAAACCTTTTGGCTTTTAGTTCTCTTAGCCCAAGTCTAATGGTTTACCTTTGAATTTGTAGAAAAACATAAAGTGACCATTCTGGATGCTCAAGGTTGCACTCACACCTTAAATCGTTATTATGCAATGTGGAACAAGCCTAGGCCCGAAGCCTTTGTAAAGGTGTGTGTTGGACTTGAAAGAAAAGGGTATTTGAAATATTATTGAATTGTGTATTAATCTGATACAAAGAGGTCTCTATTTATAGAGACTAAAAAACCTAATTCTTGACCTAATGGGCTTGGCCCAATACAACAAATATTAATAATAATAAAAGACCTAATATTTACAACACTCCCCCTCAAGCTGAGGAATAGATATTTATCATTCCCAGCTTGCTAATAAGTTCTTGAAATCTGTCTGAAGGAAGTCCCTTTGTCAATAGATCAGCTAATTGACGCCCAGTGGGAATGTATGGAGTGGTAATCAACCCGCTATCAAGTTTCTCTTTGATGAAATGACGGTCGACCTCAATATGTTTAGTCCGATCATGTTGAACTGGATTATGAGCTATACAAATAGCGGACTTATTATCACATAGCAGCTTCATAGGTCCCTCACATTTTATTTTGAGATCATCAAGTACAATTTTCAGCCACAGTAACTCACAAATGCCTTGAGCCATAGCTCGAAATTCAGCTTCTGCACTTGATCTGGCAACCACATCTTGTTTCTTACTTCTCCATGTCACCAAGTTACCGCAAAGAAACATGCAATAACCAGTGGTAGAACGACGGTCAGTCACGGATCCAGCATAATCAGCATCAGTGTAGACTTCTAAAGAGAGATTACCATCACGTCGGAATAACAATCCTTTACCAGGAGTAGCTTTAAGATACTGAAGAATTCTCTCTACTGCCTGCATGTGTTTCTCCTTTGGATCGTGCATAAACTGACTGACAACACTAACAACATAAGCTAGGTCTGGCCTAGTATGAGTCAGATATATCAATTTTCCAACTAGCCGTTGATATTGTCCTTTATCAACTGGAGGACTCTCCTCTTCAAAGCCTATCTTGTGATTCTGCTCAATAGGAGTATTAGAGGGCTTACACCCGAGCTTCCCTGCTTCTTTGAGAAGATCCAAAACATATTTCCTCTGACTGATAAAAATTCCTTTGCTTGAATGAGTTACTTCTATCCCTAGGAAATATCTCAGTTTCCCAAGGTCTTTGACTTAAAACTCAGAGGCAAGTCGTGTCTGCAGAATCTGTCTCTCCACAAAATCATCACCTGTGATAATAATATCATCAACATATACAAGGAGCACAGTAAGCTTCCCATTTTGGGAGTGCTTGAAGAAAAGAGTGTGATCTCCTTGACTCTGTCTATATCCTGAGGTCATCATAACCTTAGTAAACCTTCCAAACCAAGCACGAGGTGACTGTTTCAATCCATACAAGGCCTTTTTTAATCGACAAACTTTATTTTTCCCCTTCACAGAATCAAAACCAGGCGGGATTTCCATGTAGACTTCTTCTTTTAACTCACCATTGAGGAAAGCATTTTTCACATCAAATTGATTTATATCCCAATTGTAATGGGTAGCAAGGGACAACAAGATTCTCACTGTATTCATCTTTGCAACTGGAGCAAAGGTTTCTTCATAATCAATGCCATAGGTTTGAGTGTAACCTTTGGCGATTAATCGAGCCTTGTATCTCTCAAGAGTGCCATCAGAATTATATTTCAGGGCATAAACCCATCTGCACCCTACTGCTTTCTTTCCGTTGGGTTTATCAATAACCTCCCATGTTTTATTTTTCTCCAACGCATTCATCTCCTCTTGCATGGCTTGAGCCCAATTACCATCTTTCAAAGCTTCATGTACTGATTTTGGGATTGAAGTAGAATCTAGTGCTGAAACAAAGCTTTTGTGCTGCACAGAAAGATTAGCAGAGGAAACAAAATGGGAGATAGTGTATTGAGTACAAGAAGGACAGGAAGAACAAGTTTTCTTGGAACAAGATCTTTTTCCTTTTCTTAAAGCAATGGGTAAATCATCAGAAGCAGTAGTAACGGGTAAGTCATCAGAAGTATTAACATCATGATCAGAAATATGAGATTCAAGACTTACTAGTGGTTCAGACGATTGAGGTTGCTTTTGAGGCAATGTGGGTTGTTTCCTTCTTTGATATACCAATTCAGGTGTTACAATCTTCCGTATCTCTGGTGTACTTGATGTATCAGTCATAGGAGGATCAGTCACAGGAAGATCAGACATAGACACATTAGGAACAGGAACAAGAGGAAGAGACACTGACACAGGTGAAGGAGTAGACACTGAAGATTCAAAGAAGGAAGGTGATGAGTCTTCTGGTGAATTATTCTCCCCCTGAAGATGAAGACTTTGGAAAAAGGACTCAGATTCCTGAAATGTAACATCCATAGAAACAAAAATTTTCCGACTTCCAGGGTGATAGCACTTGTAGCCCTTCTTATCAGGAGCATATCCAAGGAAGACACATTTAAGAGCCCTAGGATCCAACTTACTGCGATGCTGTTTATGAATATGAACAAAGACAACACACCCAAACACTCGAGGAGGAAGACTTTGCAAAGTTGGAACAGAAGGAAAAAAAGAAGTCATGGAGTGAATAGGACTTACGTGATCGAGAACCCGAGTGGGTAGACGATTGATCAAGAACGCTGCAGTAAGAATGGCATCTCCCCAATAGCATTTGGGTACATGTGTTTGAAACAGTAAGGCACGAGCAACTTCAAGAAGGTGACGATTTTTCCTTTCAGCAACCCCATTTTGTTGAGGGGTGTCTACACAAGTAAGTTCATGAATCATACCTTGATTTTGTATAAATTGGGAAAAAGAGTGATTGACATATTCAGTACCATTATCTGTCCTTAGTCTTTTGATCTTTTTACAAAATTGAGTCTCAATCATTTTATAAAATTGAAAGAACAGTTGTGGTACCTCAGACTTTTCACGCATTAAGTAAACCCAAGTTACACGAGTGCAATCATCAATAAAAGAAACAAACCATTTATTTCCAGAAGAATGAGGGACCTTAGAAGGACCCCAAACATCAGAATGAATAAGATCAAAAGGTTCAACACTCTTAGTAATACTAGAAGGAAAAGACACACGATGATGCTTAGCAAATTCACAAACATCACAATGAAAAGACTCAACAGACTTAGACAAAAACAATGACGGAAATAAAGATTTGAGTAAACTAAATGGAGGATGACCCAAACGCTTATGATGCAGCCAAATTAAAGAATCAACAGTTGATTGACCATGAGACATGAAGGTGTGATCTGTTACTTTATTTGCGGGAGATTGTGACACCAGATAGTACAGCCCACCTTGCTCTTTAGCACTACCAATCGTCTTCCCCGTGGCGAGATCCTGAAAAACACAATTGGTAGGGAAGAAGGTTACAGTACAATTCAAATCTTTTGTAATTTTGTGAATAGAAAGAAGATTCGTGGAGAGTTTAGGAACATGAAGAACATCCTTACGATGTAAGGACTGCTGTAAGTTTATGTCACCAGAACCCGCAACTGATGTATGTGAGCCATCAGCTATGGATATTGTATGAGTTCCAATGGTAGGATGATAAGAAATAAAGGAGTCAGCACAACAAGTCATATGATCAATAGCACCAGAATCAACAACCCAAGAATGTTTAAAATCATTACATGAAGAAATGAAAGAATGAGTTTTGGAGCTCATACTAGTCATAGCCAAAGCACTAGTATCAGATGGCTTACTCAGATAATCAAGAATGGTTCGGAGTCGTTCCAACTCATCTGGACGAAATACAGATTGGGTCTCATTAGGTGCAGGGGTTATTTCAGAAGAAGTAAAATGCGCTTGACCACGCATCCTTGCCATCTTTTCTAAGACAGTTTGTTTTCCATAAAGGCGAAAGCATAAATCCTTGAAATGACCTGTTCTTTTACAATAAAAACACCATCGATGATCTCTCTTAGGTCTAGAAGAGGTACCATCATAAGATTTTGAAAAAGAACTCCTTTGAGAAGAGGCCATACTGCACAGAAAATGGTCAAAGAAAAGATCCAAGAAGCCAAAAATCACAAATAAATACCAAACGATGTCCGATCAAAGAGAGGAGCACAGATCCAGAAAGAGGATGAAGGGACGATCAAGATCGCGGTGGTCCGATCCGGGAAAATGGTCTCACGCGCCGCCACGCGCCGATGAGATTGGCTGCGCGTTGGCTTCACTCGCGGTTGAAGGGGCGGCGCGTGTGGGCGCGTGCGGTGGCCGTCCGGTCTGAAATTTCTGGAGCAACGTCGTCCGGTGAGCGCGGTTCTTTCTGGGTCTGTTCGGAGTTGAAAAACCACCGGGAAAGGGTCCAATCGTGATGAACAGATGCTGTCTTGTGATGAAGAATAATGGAGACGATGAACAGTAACAGAGACGATGAACAGTAACAGAGATCCAGTATAACAGAGATCTTCTCGGTCCAAGAGGTCCCCGGAAAAAAATCCGGTGGCGGCTGATGGTAGCGAGAGACAAAAAGAATAAAAGGTTCTTGTTCTAAAGAAATAGGCGCGGAAGCAGAGCCCTCAGGATCGAGAGCTCTGATACCAACTTGAAAGAAAAGGGTATTTGAAATATTATTGAATTGTGTATTAATCTGATACAAAGATGTCTCTATTTATAGAGACTAAAAAACCTAATTCTTGACCTAATGGGCTTGGCCCAATACAACAAATATTAATAATAATAAAAGACCTAATATTTACAAGAGTTGGTTTCGTATCCACTGTCATATTAATGAAATGGCATTAAAGCTATAAATTTTGGTTATTGCTTGCCACAACAGGACAAGGCATTTTCTTCCAAGCTTTTGGATGCAACAGAAAAACAACATTTTTACCGGGAATTGGCATCAGCTGCTGAATCAGGATGGGATTTCAGCACAAGATGGATGAGGTACTATTTTTTGAATAACTAAATTTTTCTACAAGTAAAGTTGATGAATGTTAGGGATGGCAACTAATAGTGCTTAGGAACCTCAACCACATGCTAAGGAGAACACACATCAACGCAGTTGTTAAATGTTGCCTTCTTAAAGAAGTCAAAAAATACTTTTTGATTGATGAAATCATATCTTTGATGCTGCAGAGATCCATCAGATTTCACAACAATGGCTACAACATCTGTGATACCTGTTGATTTAAATGCATTTCTACTTGGGGTATGTCTTAGAACAATGATTACAAGAAGTCCTGAATTCATGGTTTTTAACCTGATAAATTCTATGGCTCCCATTGATTTAGATGGAACTTAATATTGCCTTCTTTGCAAAAGTTACTGGAGATAATAGCACTGCTGAACACTTCCTGGAATTGTCTGATGCTAGAAAGAAGGCCATGAACTCTGTTTTCTGGAATGAAGACATGAAACAATGGCTTGATTCTTGGCTCACTAATAGCACATTTGAGGTATTATAGAATGCCACATGTATAAATCTAACACAATAGGAGTTTACATAGTCTTCTGTAGTTCTTCTAACTCTCTCTTTGATATACTTCTAGGAAGCTCAAGTTTGGGAATCCCTGAACCAAAACCAAAAAGTATTTGCTTCCAATTTTATTCCATTGTGGATGGAGCCATTTTACTCAGGTATTCTTGATATCTATGTCAATTTTAGAAGCTGGTAAATTTATTTGCATGACCATTTGTTACAATCATGTGGTATTACTCTCACCTTGTTTTGAAATAAAGATCCTTATTACTTTTATGATTTGCTATGCAAACCTGAGCTTTATTAACACAAGGTTACTAAGAATACATACAGAAGTGTAAAACTTGAAACAATTACACCATACAGAAATTCTTATAGACTGATCTTCATCAATTTGACGGTTGAAGTATATATAAACTAATTATCATATTGATCATTCATACCAAGACGTTAAATAATATTTAAATCAAGTAGTTGATCTCAAGACAAGCTGATACAATGCAAAGCGGTTTTAGATTAATAAGAGGATGATCCGAAAAGCTATTCAAACTTTTAGTTAACGAGTCAAAAAAACCTCACTAACCAATAACTGAAAGTTATTTGGACTTTGGGAAATATGGATCACAATCAATGCATAAAAAGCTCTTAGTTAATTGGTTAGCTTGCTGCCATTACTCTTCAGTTTTCTGTTGAGGTCTATCCTGTACGGGTACTCCAATTGGATTTGTGATCGATTTCTAGGTTTCGCCGTAAACCTAATTGGCTACTTCCAATAAATCAATAGTTTATCTTGCCTTTCAAAATATATAATTCCTATTTACAAAAAATAAAAAATAAAAAATATATAATTCCTTCGTTTTTAGTTGATGACTGATGCCTTGTCTTTCTTAAGATACTTCACTTGTGGGTAGAGTTGTTGAAAGTCTCAAAACTTCTAGCCTGGTTTGTGCTGCTGGAGTTGCAACTTCTCTGACTAATTCAGGACAACAGTGGTAAGTATACTAAATAAATAGACATTCATGATTGGAAAAATTTTCTACGTGTATTAGAAGGATGAGGAAAAAAAAGGGACCTTTGATAATGATTCTATTATATTTTCTATGTAACTTGCAATTAATAGGGACTTTCCAAATGGTTGGGCCCCGCTTCAACAAATGCTAGTTGAAGGTCTATTAAAATCTGGGTTGAAAGAAGCAAGGTCATTGGCTGAGGAAATTGCTGTGAGATGGATCACAACCAACTATGTTGCTTACAAGAGAACGGGCGTAATGCATGAAAAGTTTGACGTGGAGCATTGTGGGAAATTTGGAGGTGGGGGTCTATATGCACCCCAGGTATGAATAACTGCTTCATTATGGTTTTTATAAATTACGAGCCACTTTTGGTCTAGGGAAACATTTGAGGAACATACTAACTTTGTGATTTGAGGAAATTTTCCTATATATTTATTTGTATGTTTGATATACCGAGTGTTCTTACTTAGAAGAGGAAAAAATAAGTGACATGTACCTATTTGATATGAGTCTGATTGTGGTTTTATTGCAATGCAGACTGGTTTTGGCTGGTCGAACGGAGTTGTGTTGGCATTTTTGGAGGAGTTTGGATGGCCACAAGACAGGAATATAGATTGCTGATATGCTCAGGGAGTTAAAGATACAGGCTTTAATATTATTGGTATGTTTTACATGATGCCGGAAGAATTCAAGAAAGCTATAATTTTATTGTGGTTGAAAAAATTTGGAGTGTTTGTTTGTTGTGTTTGATCGGTTATGAAGGAAAATGCTAACCAATTTAATATAATCAATTTTCTTATAATATCAATGGGTCAGTTTGGTTAAAAATGTGAATTGGATCTAACCCAACCCAATTTAAATCGATTTTGATTGGTTTAATTTTTTAGTTTTTTGTTAGAATTTTTTTCATGTTTGAAATCACTAAATTCATCAAACTAAGAATTTTTTTTTCGTAATATATTAAATATAAGTTCGAACAAATATATGAGACGTGAAAGCTTATTTAAATTGTCAAGGTTACACCAATTTTAATTAAGATAGCAGTTTGATTAGTAGTTATTAAACTCGAGTTACATACCTCAGTTTTGAATACCATGATTTTTGTGACGAGCAATAGCGTCATTGACTAAATTGTTTTTTATTTAATGATTAATTATTCTTTGATATTGCTTAATGGGGTTTGGTACCCAGATTTTTTTTTTGAATTCCTTGGAAAGCATGATAAGGAGAATGCGCAATCCACATTTGATTGCAATAAAAGCTAAAATTGCTTGGGTAAAATGTTTGCCCGATTTTTGTAATTAATGTGTAAAGTGTTGTACGGACACAATGTTAGAAACTTCATCAATAGATAAGTTTTTATAGTTTTTTGCCCGAGAAGTAAAAAAAAATAAGCGAAATAATGTGGACCAAATTAACCATGCTTTTTTGAATGAAAAAGTAAAGGAGGGATTATTTTTGTAAAATAACCCCAAATTTCTACTACTATTTCACAATCAACCAAACATCAACTCAGTTAGGGTATGCATGACAACTTTTTCGGAATCAACTTTTTTTTTTTAATTTCTGTTCCTGAGAATAGAAATGGATAGAAAACTCGTTTGGTAAAATCGGTTTATTTTTTTGTTTCCGGGATGAACCGGTTTATTTTTTATGCTGGGGAACAGATAAAAGAATCAAAAGAATTTGCTTTTTGTTCCTGGGAACATAATGAGAAACACTTATCTCTCTCAATTATTCTCCACCACTACCATCATCACCACTGCCACCACCATCCTAACACGATCACCACTACCATCGTCGTACCACCACCACCACCTCCACATCACCACCACCATCACTATTACCACCACCGTCACCACCACGCCACCACCACTACCGCCATTGCCGCTACCGCAACCACCACCACCGTCACCTCCACCATATCATCTCCAACACCATCGTCGTAGACACTGCTATCACCACAACCACTACCATCACCGCCACCGCCACCACCATTACCACCACCACCACCACCACCACCACTACCATTATCATGCACTGCCACCGCCACACAACACCACTATTATGCCACCGCCATGCCATCATCATCAACATCATCACAGACACTATCGTCACCACCACCGCCACTACTGCCGCCACTGCCACTATGCCACCATTACCACCATTGTCGCTGCCACCACTATCATTATCATGTCATTGCAACCGCCACCGCCATCACCACCACTACACAATCGCCACCGCCACCACTACACAATCGCCACCGCCACCACCACCATGTCGTTACCATCACCACCACCATCGCTACCATTATCACCACCATCGTTGCGGCCACTGCTGTCACCACCACCATCTCTACGTCACTGCCACCATCACCACCACCATCGTCGCAGCTACTATCGTCACCATCACCACACCACTACCACCACCACCACCATCACCACCACCGTCGCTACCATGCCATCACCATCATTACCATTATTGCCACCGCCGCCACCACCGCCATGCCATCACTGATAAACTTTTGGTTTACCATGTTTCTAGGCTAAATTATACAAGAATTATGTAGTAGATTGCAAGGAATTCAAGGTTTTACAGCATATAAGCCATAAGATAGGAATTTGAGCTAATGTTTTATAGTTCTCGCATTTTGAAGGTACAACCACACTTATTGGTGCTAAAAAGTGATGAAGAACTCAAGACAAAGAGTTGAGACTAAAATTGGACCAAAGGAAGCCAAAATCTTACAAGCCAAGAGCCAGAAGAGCATGCTCAAGCACACAGAATGGACGCTCAAGTGCACAGAATGGATGCTCAAGCGCTTCTTGGCAGGGAAAACAGCCAAACTGAGCAATTCAGGACGCTCAAGCGCACAGATGCACGCTCAAGCACCCAAGAAGACACAAATCCACCATCGAGGGGCACGCTCGAGCGCCCAGATGGACGCTTGATAAACCTTTGGTTTACCATGTTTTTAGGCTAAATTATATAAGAATTATGTAGTAGAATGCATGGAATTTAAGGTTTTAATACATTTAAGTCATAAGATAGGAAATTGAGCTGACGTTTTGATAATAATTGCATTTTTGAAGGTAAAACCACAAGAATTGGTGCTAAAAGTGCTAAAGAAATCATGACGAAGAAGTAGAGGCTCAATATGGATCAAAGGAAACCAACATATTACAATTCAAGGTCCAGGAAAGCACGCTCAAACGCACAAGAGGACGCTCGAGTGTTTGGAAGCAGGAAAAACAGCCAAACTGGGCACATCAGGGCGCTCAAGCACACAGATGCACGCTCAAGCGCCCAAGAAGACATAATTTCGGACTCGAGGAGCACGCTCGAGCGCCCATGAGCACGCTCGAGCTCGCTCAGGCAGGCAGCAACATCAATTTTCAGCAATTCAGGGCGCTTAAGCGCCCTGTAGCGCGCTTGAGCGCCCAAACACGGACCTGACAGCAAAGATGCACCAAGATTTGCTGAGATTTAATGAAGATTTGTCCAATTATGATATGGAACTAAAGCGGAAACATATCAAAGCTGATTCCATAGAAGATTGAAGGAAGATTATACAAGATTCAAAGCTCAAATCTCTCAACCAATCCACAAGATATTAATTGCAAGAAGGAAACAATTGAAAAATCAATTACAAATCTAATATGGATACGGCAAGAGATGCAATAAAGGATACAACCTTCAATGGCTATAAATAAAGAGCTTGGGGTCAGACATAGACACCAATTCAGAAACCAATTGACAATTACAAAGAGCTTGAAAGCGCTGGAACACTGAGGAACCAAGTCAACAACACACCAATGGAGGCTTGGGGTTCTCTTTTCTTTATTATTTCTTTTCAATTCAGTATGCTAGAGTAGTCTTTTATGTAGTTAAGGGTAGATGGAACCTAATTGAATCTTTATGTTTGTGAATTAAATTGTCCCTGAATCCTGTTCTTTTTATATTTGAATAAATTATCCGTCTTTAATGCTTTCTATGAGTTTGTTCCTTATAGAATGATTTTGGGGAATTGTATAACAATAGGGATGTTGGTGCATGAACCTTGACTTGATAATTTATCATAATCCTTGTGATCTAGGAATAGACATAAGGTAATTATGCAATCTTGTAATTCTTGATCTTAATGCATGTTTTCTTGGAGAATAATCGGGGAACTAGTGTTCTTTCAAGATTACATAGATTTATGGTAAAAAGGAATTGAGCCATAATTAACTCAAATAGAATTGATTGGCAATATATTAAGAAACGGATTCTTGGCTATTTAATTCATAACATATTGAGGATATTGAGGAAAGTCGAAACCTTAACTACGCTTGTTTAAATTTCAATCAAACATCATCATCATTCATTCTTTTAATTCTGAATTTTCATATTGCATGCCTTTACTTGTTTTTAATTTTAAGTTCTTTGAACCACAACTCTTTTCATCTAAATTCTCTCAAACCAAACCTTTGATTGTCCAACTAAAACGCAATTAGCGAAGTAGTGCGTGAAAATTCTGATCCTCGTGGGAACGATCTCGTACTCTGGTACACTTTATTACTTTCACGATCGGTGCACTTGCCGAGTCGCTAACAAGTTTTTGGCGCCGTTGCCGGGGATCGAATTCTTCAACATTAGAAGTAACTAATTAACTTTTAGATTGGACGTTTTAATTTTCTGCACTTTATACATTCTTCAAAAATATTTTTCTGCATTAAAATTCTGCATCAATTTTCTGCATATTTATTTTTCTGCATTCTTTGTTTGTTTATTTTTTATTTTTCTGTTTTTCTGTTTTGTCTTTTTTTTCTATTTTTTTGCACATCTTTTCAATCTTAGTTTATACGAGGTACTCTTAACCCGCGAATCTTGCAGTTTGATCCTGAGATAGAAAAGAAAGAAAGGAAACTTAGGAAAGACGCAAAAGCAAAGAAAGCAAAGGAAACAAAGGCATCAACTTCGACGGAACCAAAGGAGGAACCTATGGCAGAAAATAATCAACTCGCTCCAAGGAGGTTGGGGGATTACATGACCCCAGCTCGAGTCCCACAGACGGCGAGCATTGTTAGACCAAACATAGAGGCTAACAACTTTGAACTGAAGCCGGCACTGCTGCAACTGATTCAAAAAGAACAGTTCGCTGGAGGAAGCACAAAGAACCCCTATAGTCATCTCGATAACTTCTTACTTTACTGTGATACATTGAAAGTAAATGGAGTTCCTCGTGAGGCTATCTTGCTCAGGCTATTTCCATGCTCACTGAAGGATGAAGCAAGAGATTGGCTGCAGTCTCTACCTGAAGGAAGCATAACCAATTGGGATGACTTAGCAAGAAAATTCTTGGCCAGATTTTTCTCAGCTTCAAAGATGGCAAGGCTCAAGGCGGAGATCACTGCTTTTGAACAAAAAGAAAGTGAATCTTTGTACGAGGCTTGGGAACGATTCAAAGGATCACTTAGGAAGTGTCCTCAACATGGAATTGAAGCATGGGAGAAAGCAAGAATCTTTTTCCAAGGGATGACATCCAGCACAAGAACAGTGGTCAATGCTGCTGCAGGAGGATCACTGAAAACAAAAACTCCAAAGGAAGCGCTAGAGTTGTTGGAATCTTTAGCGTCTCAAGAATTTGACAATGCCCCTGCCCCAGTTGCACCAAGAAGAGCAGGAATTATGAAGCTCGAAGGCTATGATGCGCTCTTAGCGCAAAATGAACAAATGCTGCTG